TTACAGAATGTAGTTCTTGCATGCAGCCGTAAGGAGGTTCATTCGAAAGCCGGCATCCTGACGTAACTGAAATATTATGGAATTGTGTTGCAGGCTGACTAGTTTTACAACTCTTCTTAATTGATCTTTTCGAAACGAAAACGTATTTCGGAATTTCGGTTGACATTTCATGAGTTAGCCCACCTACTGTACATTCAGGGGGGAATACTGGCAGAGACAGGCGAGGTCGAGATGGCCGCCTCTGAGTTGTCAGCCAGTCCTGCCGAAATTCGAGTGTGCAACACCTGAGCCTTGAACCCGCATTCTTTGATGATCAAACTGTATTAAGTCCAACGTTTTACCACTGAGCCACACACTCGTTGTCCTGTCGGTTGCGATCGGAGGGCTGAAGTGCGGCAAAACCTCAGGTTCGGCAGGGCTGATTGACGACGTTTTATAAACCACAGGCGGCCATCCCGACCTCCCTTGTCCTTGCCAGTACTTCCCCTGTGAGTGTACTTCTAGTCGCTGTGCCACTGCCTGCCGCCCCAAAGCACAATGGGATGCGCAGGTCCCGTAGATCAGATCGGAGAATGCACTTCTAACAGTTATTATTTCCAATCACGGCCGAGAGGACAAGACGCCCGTGACGGAATGGCAGAGCGTTGGACTAAATAATGTTCGTTGACCAAAGAACACGAGTTCGTGGCTCAGGTGCAGCAAACCCAAGTTTTGGCGGGGTTGACTGACAACAGCTAACAAGCCAGGACTGACCATCGTGGTCTCCCTTATCATTGCGATATTCTACTTCTGTAGGATAGAATTAAATGGTTTTTCTCTGCATGGCCGTGTGACGTAAAGATGTCGAAAGGCATCCATGGTTGGGAACAAGTAACGCTCGCAAGGGTTTCCTCGAGTTTGCACACATGCTCGGAGCACCAACATGTCTGGGGACCATTAGGAGCACTTATCATGCATACTACTTCCAATGTTCATTCTAAGGTGACATAATTTCGGCTTAGCTTCTATGAGGGTTAGCGCTTTCGGTGATTTGAGCGGACCGATGTATCAGGTTCATGAAATCACTTACTACTAAAACCTCTCCACCTCAGCCTCCTAACCGTGCGAGCGAAGTCCTCTGTAAAGCTTTCAAGCGCATGACTGAAGTTGGTGTTTCCTTCCATTCTGCACGGAGGCACTGCCTATACGCGCTTTCTGCAGGTAACGCCGAGTCTTACGACTTAAATTCACCTTTTAACTGGCGTCATTAAGGACTGTGGCAGGCGCCAGGGTGATTGTAGGCCATCACATGTCTCCGGTTAGGAAATTTCCTTCTCTTGCGTTCTGACATTTTTTTGGTATCTAAACTAACCACAATATCGGTCCCTGCGACGCGCATTTTCATCTAAGGGCTTCATTCCTGGCAGTTTCGCCGGCCATTAGCGCGTCATCATGGGTAAAGCATATGATCGCAGTGCGAGTACCCTGCCTCTCCAGAAGGGCGGGGCAATGACAAGGCGACACGACAGAAGGAAGAAGGAGATATGGCGGGAGGAGGGCAACGAGGGAGCCTAGGGGGAGGGGGAGGAGAAGTGTAAGGGAGGAGTGGGGAAACAGGAGAAGGCGGTTAACATATCGTGGCGGGATGCTGACAACTTATTCATTTTTCCAAGCAGCTGTAGTATGAACCACCTTAACGACATAGCTATTTGCCGTGCGAACGCTGATCTACATAACCAGAGGTTGGCAGAAGCTACTACTTTGGGATTCAAAAATGAGTCAGCCTGTCCTTGCTATGGTTGTAAGATTTTTGCTCTAGTCAACTAAAGAGGGTCCGATAGAAGGGCGTTAGCAGCATCTTTTTTTACAGAGTCCGAAAATACGGGGATTCTATTGAAAAGTGAAACTATTCTGTTCGATACTGCTGGTTTTACGCAGCGAAACAAGATTTTGGTAATAACCTTGGTCTACTGAGTGCGTTATACATGTGAAGAGATAGCACTGCTAACGTGGCCATCGAGAGACAAGGCAGTATTGTTCTTATCCAGTAAACTGTAAATCTCTGGGATTTTTTTCGAAACCTATCTATATCGTTTCGAGCCCAAAGTTAGCACTCGGTGCCCAGCGGAGACCTATTGTGGTAAAGTGCGGGGGATTCGAGGTTCACAGAGAGCACAAATGCGCGATCATGGAAAGAGACGAAGTATGCCTGTTAAACAGCTGCAAAAGTTATAATGCCTGAATATGAGCCTATAGAATCCGCTGATTTTCGACATTAACACAGAACCTTACAATTCTTTTTATTGAAGACATCAAGAGGGCTGCACAATTACTTGCCTGAGGCTTCCAAAGCAGTGTTCACCTTCATAAACGTAAACATATTAAAATTTGTCACGTTAGGAAATATGTGGGCCCGCCGAGTCACCTAGCAAGATATCGTGTGACATTAATGTCTATGTGCCCCCCCCCCCAACACGTGCTCGCCATCGGATAGACAGATTATTTGAAATACGTGTTAAACTTTTTTCAGGCAAATACTGTTTAGTTCTGCGAAAATTCCCATATTACGGTTGAAGAGTCAGTTGGCGAAAAAATGCTTTCGGTAACTCATCATCAGGCCGATACATTTACGTGGGCAATGATCATTCTAATTGTAGACAGAATATGGAAAACAGCATGCGTACAACGA